GGACTGTATAATTTTTAACTATTTAACTAACAAGACAGCCTTCAGAAAAAGGCAGGCAGTAAGATTTTGTTTCAGGTTAAGACATCAGATAGAAACTGCAGTGGTACCACTGTAACTTTTAGTTTAGTGCTTAAAGCTGGTTGCTCTATATATTGAATGGAGTTTGGACATACAGAGCTCTCAGGTAAAACAATTGTCCTCTTCACAAGCATTTGTGTTATTTCATAGTATTTCAGAATGGTTTGGATTGTAAGGGACCTTAAAGACCATCTGTTTCCACTCCCTGCCATGGGCAGGGATGCCACTTACTGGGACTGGGTCAGTCTGCTCAGGGCCCCATCCCACCTCCCTTGGTTACCCTTTTGGGCTCAGAATCACCTGTTACCCACTATTCTGATTTCAAAGTGACACAGCTGTGATGATTACTGGTGCTCTAAATTATTCATTTTTATTAATCAAGCAGAAGCTGCTGCACCAAATACTGCTCCCATAGCACAGTCACAGCTTTGCTTTCAATGAAAGCTTATCTCCCAGTGGCAGGCCATGGTAACAAAGGCAGAGATTAGATTTGCTATCTTGGGCAGAGACATTTCCTGGAGCTCGTGGGCCAGAACAAAGCAGTGTGTGCATAAACCCAAAGGCACAACTCAGTTATTAAACCACTGGGAATTCTTCTCCTGAGATTTGAAATGGGAATAGTGGGTTAAGAATGTGCTTTGACTGTCTTCAAACCAGGGCAATTTTGTCACAGAATTGAGAAAGAAACTGGAAAAAAAAAAAAAGAGTTATCTGTACAAAAAATGAAAATCGGTTCAATATCCAAGTTGTTTACATTCTCAATGGATTTGGCAGAAAGGTAATTTTGAAACAAATACTTGGACCTGCTGAAGGATGGATAAAATCAAGAAGTGGTCCATGGTTTATTTTCAATTATTATTAGTAATTACAGTATTTAGATTTATCACATTCTTTTAAAAGTAACCTGGCAAAGAAAGAGGATCTGTTTGGGTTTGAGCTAGTTAAATCCACTTAGAGTCTTGATGAAGCTTGTGGTTTTTCTTTTAGAGAGCAGGAAGAAGCATACAAGTGGAGAATATTCATGTGACAGGGGTAGCTTGGGACTTCCAAAGATCAATTTTATTTTACTTTTTAAACAAAACTCTCTTTTCAGAACATATTCAAAGACCCTATTAAGTGAGAAATGAGGATTAGTACAAACCTCAGCAGAACCCCAGCTCTCATGATCAAACAGAGATCTCTAATCTCTGCGGAATACCAACCTTCAGGATCAAACAGCATTGTTTAAACCACAGCTGTGTACAGTCCTGGAGAAGCAGCTCATATTTCCTTGGGGGCAGGAGCCAAAGATGGAGGATGTGAGAAAGAAAGAACAAGTTCTGCTTACAAGGGGTAGCCTAGTGCAACACCATTGTGTTTGTCCCTCTTGGGAACAGCACCTTTGGGACCCACCAGCACTGCCTGAGAAGGCTGGGCTGAGCAGGGTTGGGAAAGGAAGTGGGAATTCAATCATCCTCTGCCTCAGCCTGCCCAGAATCTCTCTGAAGTACTGGGGAGAAGAGAGCAGAGGGCAAATCCTATCCTGGGAGCATCGCACACAGCCCTGGTCCAGAAAGGGGATGGTTCTGCTGGGCTCAGCGTGGGCTCACCTGGAGCTCCATGTGCAGGGCTGGCCCCAACACGGGGGAAGGATGTGAGGTCCTTGGATGGATCCAGAGGAGGGTGACAGGGCTGAAGGCAGGTCCTGGCAGAGGCAGCTGAGGACTCTGGGCTTGGAAAGAAGGAGGTTGAGGAGCAGCCTGAGGAGGGAATGTGCAAAGAGAGGTGCTGAGCTCTTCTCCCTGGGATCCAGGGTCAAGATGGGTGGGAATGGTTCAAACCTGTCCAGGGGCACTTCAGACTGGATATTAGGAAGCATTTCTGTACTGAGCAGGTAGTCAGACATTGGAACAGGCTTCCCAAAAGACCTGTCAGTGTCTGAGACATTTGGACAATGCCCTTAACAACACGCTGTAATTTCTAGTCAGCCCTGAAGTGCTCAGTCAGTTGGGTTGATGATTCTTGTGGTCCATTCCAACTGAAATACTCTGTTATATTCCAAAACTTCTAAACTTGGCCAGCCATATCTAGTCAAAAGGTTTCTACAAGCAGTTTTCAGTGTCTCCTCTCAGCCAACAGCCATTTACAAAACCAGCCTGTATCTGAGCTCTTTGCTGCCATCTGAGGTATTTCAGTTGCTTTTCCTCTTGCCCGACCAGAAAGCCACCTGTCCCACAGCCTGATGCAGTCCTGATCTGCATTATGAGGTGCCTCTTGGGTACCGATACAGGATCACACAGCACCTGGGCATGGCCAGGCCAGACTGGTGCCTCTTGAGTCTGCTTAAGGTCACCAGAGGTTAAACAAAGTGTGCTCAACGTGCAAAGGAATGCAAGGAGCATCCTCCTATTTCTCTTTTGAACTTCCTTAAGAAAAATCTAGAGGAGGGACATGAAGATGGTGGAGGGTCTGGAGGGGCCATACAAGGAGCAACTGAGGGCACTTGGCTTGTTCAGCTGGAGGATACTGAGGGCAGAGCTCACCAGGGGCTGGCTACAGCTCTTCCCAAGGGACAGTGCAGGGACAGTTCCGATCTCTGTTTTCTGTGCCCAGGGACAGGACCCAGGGAATGGCTGGAGATGGGCCAGGGCAGGGTCAGGCAGGAGATGAGGGAAAGGTTCTTCCCCAGAGGGTGCTGGGCACTGCCCAGGCTCCCCAGGGAATGGGCACAGCCCCAAGGCTGCCAGAGCTCCAGGAGAGTTTGGACAACGCTCCCAGGGATGCACAGGGTGGGATTGTTGGGGTGTCTGGGCAGGGCAGGGGTTGGACTCTATAATCCCTGTGGGTCCCATCCCATTCAGGATATTCTGTGACTCTGTGACCGGGTCAAAGGACAGCCCGGGACACCGCTGCTTTAACACCATCCCTCACATTCCTCTCACACGGTTTTAGGAGTCCCAAAAGGCTCATTAGGGAAGTAAGCAAAACGTGCAAAGCGTCTAACGTGACTGGTAAATTGAATTCCAGCCATGCCTGGTGCTGCCGGCTCATTGCGCAGCACAGCCACGAGGTGGAGGCCTTTACAACGCTTAGTCCAATTACAGCAATTACCCCCAAAAGCCCTTTTTATCTGCCCTGAGAGCCCTGGGCTCGCCTGGCGATGTGAGGGGAACACGGCCCCGGGGAGCACACAGCACACGGGGGGTGGCACAGCGGGGCACCGTGACCCGCAGGGACGGGCAGTCAGGGTCGGTGCCCTGGTCAGGGTCAGTGTTGCGGTCAGGGTCAGTGCCCCCCAGTCAGGGTCAGTGCCCCCAGTCAGGATCAGTGCCCCCTGATCAGGATCAGTGCCCCCAGTCAGGGTCAGTGCCCCCATTCAGGGTCAGTGCCCCCTGATCAGGATCAGTGCCCCCCAGCCAGGGTCAGTGCCCCCCAGCCAGGGTCAGTGCCACAGCCGTGGCACCGGCAGGGTAGAACAGTGCATTGTGTTCACAAACACAGCAGTGTGGCTGGACACATTTACACTTCTGTGACAGAGATTCTTAGTCAGGGATTGATGTCTTGGGGCTGAAAGCTTTGCTTTTGAAGGCATAGAATGATAAAATAGTTTGGGTTGGAAGGGATCTTAAAGCCCACCCAGTGCCACCCACTGCCAAGGGCAGGGACACCTCCCACTAGCCCAGCTTGCTCCAAGCCCTGTCCAACCTAGCCTTGGACACTTCCGAGGATGGGGCAGCCACAGCTTCTCTGGGCACCCTGTGCCAGTGTCCCACTATCCTCACCAGCCAAGAATTTTTTCCTAATAGCTAGTTTAAACCAGTCCTGCTTCAGCTCAATGCCATTAACAAAGCCCGTTCCACAAAACCCCCTGACTGCATCAACTCCATCTCTAGCCTGTAGTGTTTTGCTGATGCTCTGCCCTCCCTTGCCCTGGGACTCTTACCAGAACTGACACTGAGCAAACAGCCCACAAACATTCATTCACCTTTTTATCCTTTCAAACAATTCAAGTATATGGCAAACCTCCAAACCATTGGTGTTTTCCCCTTTTGAAAAGGCAAAACCTACAGTTCTGAGGAATTTCAGAAGGTTATTGGTTAAATTAGAAACAGTCGAGCCAGGCTGAATGGTTTCAACTTCCCCCACGTTTTTGCCTTAGCTTGAATAACATTGTATTTTTGTCTCACATGAAGGGCAGAAAATTAGATTTAATACTCTTGTGTTTGATTTTTTTGCTTTGGCATTGAAGCAGCTGTAATATCTCAAACTGGGATTATAAATAGGCTATATATAGGAAATAACAGGCCATGGATCTAATGCAGACTCAAAAAATAAGTATATAAATGTAGTGGGAAATAGTATTTTTTCCCAAATGCTGGAAAGGACTAAAGATCTTTGTGCCATAATCTGATTAAACACAGAAAGTCTCCTTCAGGAGGAATAATCTCTTTCAATATAAGTGGTTGACAAATTGGCAAACAAAATAGGCAACTCCTCCAAAGGCTATTAAATATATGGTATGTGTAATGCACAAGAGATTATTATTTATGCTACAACCCCCAGAAATCCTGCTGTGACTTCTTCCATAAAGTCAATCTCCATGCCCCATTCTTTAGGGAACCACCTACTGTTCCTCCTAACCCCCACCATCATCTGCTTCTATTTAAACCCCCTGGCAGTGGCTGAGCAAACACTTACACACTAACCAAGTCTCTTTATGTTTTATAACTGGTTCCACATCTCAGATTTAATTGATCACATAACAATAAAAACTTTGATAAATAAAAAAGAGTCCAGACTGTGAAGACCTCCTACCTTGAAAGCATTCATATGCTTCCAAAAAAGCCAGGCCAACAGAAAAGAAAAAAACGCAAAAAAAGCAATTTTAAAATAGTTGTAACATACCCATCACTTACTTGTTTCCTGTGTACCTCCAGCTGATAAATCAAGGGATCCAAATGCAGCCACATCTCAGAGACAGTCCTTCCAGCTCCTCCTGAAGGCACTTGCAGCAGAGGGCAATGGAGAATGTTCATTTCCTCTCACTGCCTTTGATTTCCTGAGCAGGTAAGTCAAAGGCTGGAATGTCCATTTTTTAGTCAATACAAATATGTTGATGAAGAGCAGTTTTGAGACTACAATTTAATATTTAAAGTCTTGCCCTACTATTATAATAATAGAAAATTGATAGAAAATCTCTTGTGTCGTTTAGAGGCACAAACCTTTCTGTAATGCTGAATATTCTGATAAGAAGATATGCATGAAACAGTTACTCAGCCCCTTACAGAAACTAGTCTGGATTTATGCTTGTGTTTATCTAGTTTTAAGTGTTTCCAGTACAAAATATTCATCCTTATAAGTCAGCTTTGTATTCACTGACCTTCAATGAAGTGCAGGCCTAGACAGGGATATGAAAATAGTATTTTCATTTTAAATTCAATGCAAAAACATGATGTCAGCAGCAAAACCGAGTCACAGCCAGACTTGTTACATTTTTACTTGTTACATAACTTGTTACATTACTTGTTACATAACTTTCCAATCAACTGTTCTACATTGTTATGTGATGAGTATAACCATTGCAAAGAATCAGGCTCTTCCCAGAAGTTCCATTAAACCCAGATTCCTAAATGCACAAATTCTCACCTACTTGCTGTAGAGAGCAAGGACTGTTCCATGACTCCTTCACTAGCAAGCAGAAAGGGAATCCATGAAAATCCATTTATGAACAGAAATGAACAGGTGAAGTGTTCATAAGTGGCCACAAGCTGCTTGTGCCAGCAGACAGGTGGGTGTCTGTGCTAAGCAAGGTGTGCTTTTCCTGAGTGCTGGGTTGGTGCCCTGATTTTGTAAGACTTTGTTAAGCCTTCTGATGTTTACATTCTTTCAACAAACTTTCTCACACACAGTTCTGTAAATAACCTATGTTTTGCATTCTTTCATGGAGGTGGAGAGAATTGATGGACCCTTGGTCTGTCCAGTGGCATTGGAGAGGTGGCACTGTCACCCTCCAATCCACTGTCCCCTTTGGAAAACTATAAATGTTAGAGTCAGAAAATAAAGGTGCTTCTTTTTTGTTCCCCTCGAGAGCAGCAGTGTCTGTGTCATCATTTCGTGCCTTATCACAACACTGGGTGTATATATTTAATAAACCAAAGACCAACCTTGCTCCACAAGAGCCTGCCTTGCACCAGCAGCAAGGCAGAGGTTTGCACACAACCAGTTCCTCTCCTTTCACCACCAGCTTTGTGCACAAGACACTTTGGTATTCTAAGCACACAGGGATTTTGCTCAGTATCTTGTTCATTCTCACAGCACATACTGAAATCAGGAACTGATAAGGTGAGGAGATTTGATATGTACAAGGCTCAGGCTTTATTTAATCAAAGGACCAAAATCCATGATATTGGCTGGAAGCAGAAAAGAAAAGGAATGGGGATAATAAACACCCCAGAGGCTAGAGGCATAGCAAAATACAAATTGCTTGAGTCACACTTTGAGAGTGAAGTGATAATGAAAGATTTTAAATTAAAAGAAAAAAAATTACAAAATCAGCCACTTAAAATATTGGCTAAAGGAAACACATATCTGTTCTATCACTGTCCATTAGTGATGCCAGCAAGTAATCTCCAAATGACTACACAGGAATACAAACTCACAGGTACACTCTGACACGTGTCAGCAAAGTAACAAGTAATGCAGAGGAAAAGAAAACAGACCCATTCAGGCTAATTTTTAGCTGGTTGAAAATGCAGAAATGCAGCATAAAGTACATTCATATATTTGGGATTCCCCCAAACAGGTTATGTAGTTCCTTCTAAAAGACTGAGAATCTCTATTTTGCAACAGGGATAGAACTGAGGTTCAATGTGACAGACACACAGATAAATCAATATACAGATATATGCATATAGTCCCCCAAAAGAAATGCACATTTTACCTCAGTTAGCAATAGTTATAAAAACTGCTTTGCCAAAGTAATGCTTTTATTCTCCATTTCAATAGAAAACTTGTTTTTTTCAGGAACTACCTTAAAGATTCCCATTGCAGGAGTTAACCTGGCAAGAGCCCTGCCATAAACACCACTGGGACCAGCTGTTCTGTGTGGATAAAGACAACCATAGGACTTCCCTCTTTAGTACCAGGTATCTCCCCAATGCAACCCAAATCTCACAAATCTGAAAGCAGCTCCTCATACCCACGTGCTGTGCTCTAACCCCAGCACTGAGTAACCCCATAGATCCAACCTTAATGATTCCACCAGAGCTGCCTTTGTTCCTCTGCTCACTCCTCCCATTTCAATACCCAGAGAGGCTGTTAAACCTACAAAGCTTCTGATCTTTGTGTCTGTCACCTTGTGGCAGAAGCTCATCACACACCCTGGCAGATCTTCCCACTGGCCAAGCACGGACACATCCCTGCTGTGCCAAGGCAGGAACATCCAGCTGCTGCAGCCAGAGGACATGCTGGACTCACTAAGGTACTTTTGCAACTTTGCTTAAGGAAGATTATTTTCTTTGCAAAACATTAGCATGTGATTTACTGTTAACTTTACCGATTTACAGAGTTATCTTTTTGGTGAGGACAGACTTAAACACTGACCCACACTGTAAAAACCAGTCACCACTATGATTTTCCTAGGACAGAGGCTGAAATTCAGGATTTCTGCATCCTGGCCTCAGTTCTCTTGCCCCAGGGCAAGATGCTTAACTCCTTTGTGACCCAGTTGCTGTGCTGGAGATGGCCAAAGCCACTTCAAATGTAATTATCATTTTCAAGGTACCTCAAAAGCAAAGTCTACAGTCCTACATCTGAGCAAAGGCCAATGAAGTGACTCAGCACTGAGTCTCCAGGCAGCACCTTCCCCTGCCCAGAACCCAGGACACTGGGGAGAGGTGGAACCTACTGGATTTGTTTGGAGAGGACAAAGGAGAGACCTGCAACCACCTCAGGGAAAAGTGTAGGGAGGATCAAGCCAGACTTTCTTGGAAATGCACAGCTATAGGCAAGAGGCACAGACACAAGTGGGAGACAGACAATTCCAGTTAATTCCAGTTCTGTACTGTTATTTCACCATGAAGGTTGTCAAAAATGTCCAGAGTGTGGACACTGAGATAATCAGACTTAGACTGGACAAGGCCTGTAAGAGCCAGACCTAACTAAATCTTTCTTGAACAAGAGGTTGGACCTCGATGGTCTCCAGAGGCGCTTTCCAGTCTAAATTATTCTGGGATTCAATGACAATTTTTCCTTTTTACTTAGATCATTCCAATACTCAGAACAGAAAAAGGTAATTTATGCAAAATCCTTCTCCCAGGCCTTTTTCCTATATTTTTGCCCAATGCCAAACTCAACTTTCTCTGGGAACACCTTCAACTTCTCTACTTTAGCTGTGATTAATTTATTCCCTGTTGGATAGCATAGTTTGTTTTCCCACTTCATATTGCCTGGTGGATATTATGTTGTGGAAATCCAGACTTTTTTGCAAGCAGCCCAAAAGTCCAGGCCCAAGGATGTTCATACTCTGCTGGTCCCCAGACACAGCACTATGTTCTGTGAGCTGTGTGGTTTTGGGTTCTTACATTGGAGTTAAGCTGCTTTCTGGCAAGAAGCCCCAACTCACCCATTCTTAGGGAATGGGTTCAGGTGTTATTTACCAGCAGAGGTGTTTCAATTACCTTGCAAACGTGGAAAATAATAATGAAAATAACGTACAATAGGCACTTCATTAAGTAGAAGATAGGCTTGTTAATTGGCCCAGATTAAGGTGCACTGGTCATTTAATTTATTGTCTCCCTGCTTTCAGATGATACTTTTACATGAAAACAGTCTCCATTGTCTCTCTCTTTTCAGAACTTTCATCTATGATGGAATGTTTTTCATTGAGGGACCTAATTTTTTCCATAAAGATCCTGAACAGAAAATGCAGCCAAAGGGCTTGCAGGAGTCACAATTTGCAGTTCATTGTTAAAACAGAACCTGTGCATCCAATTCCCTGCTCCTCAGCCCACTCCTCCTCTTTTACAGGCACCTGCCTCAACAGTCAGAAAAACTTTGGGATGGCTGTGGATGTGGAGGGCACAGGGAGAGTCCTGCAGCTCTTCAGAAAATGTTAATGTTATTCCGGTACTGGAGCAGCTTTGCTCCTGCTTTGCTTCCTTAGAAGTGCTCCTGCCATCTCTGCTCATCTGCAGGCAGAATATTTCCCCAGACCATCCCTGGGGATGTTCCTTCCCAGCCTGCCTACATCACTCAAGCTGCTAAGGTCAAAATTTCCTTGGTATCTCTTTCCAGCAGGAAAGCGTTTTCTGTCCACTGAAAAACGTTGCACATTGGGAAATGTTGTGAAGTAGCAAATAGCTATTGATCAAACAAAGAGAAGCTCAATGAAATTTAAATTATTTTGGAAACAAAGAACCCATCACCAGCAGCTAATACAGATTATCTGCACTTCTATATTCAAAGCTGCATTACGAGTATTAAGGAAGAGAAATAACTGGGAAGGTTCCCAAAGTTCACTAAGTCCTTTGCATTCCAGAAAGAGATAAACTTCTCATTCATATCTCTATCATGAGCTCTGTATACAGAGAGGACACAGCTCTGCTTTCTGCGAGCATCAACATGCCTCACATATTTTTTTTTCCCCACTTGTGCCAAATCATTAAAATGTGAGACAAGAAACACTGAGCACAAAATGGTTGGGGATTAACCATTGAGACATTTCTCATTAGAGACATTTCCTCTTTCCAGTTTCTGTTTGTGCCTCTCCTTCCTTTCAGACTCCCTCTTCTATTGGAGTCATTTTGCCTGAGGTCTGATGATATTTGAATAGTTTAGCTTAGTCTTGTAGGGAGATAGACTCAAAATTTAGTGACATTTCTTTCCCCTGCTTTAATGACTCCAGAGCTTCTGCTAAAAGGTAGGACCTTTAATTCCCTTTACTGGCCCATGGAAAACTATCCTTCCACCACTGGGAGGAAGCCAGAGGGGAACCTGGCTGCTGTGCCTCCAGCTCTTCCAAGGTGAGGAGGTGGTAAGAGGAGAGAATGCCAACATATGGGAAGAGGTCAGCCCTCAGTCCTAACAGAAAATATTTGCACCAGAGTCCAATCCCCCCCCTCCTCCATCCCCATGCCTAGTGATGAATTTGTCCAATTTAACAGGGCAGAAATATCTCCCTGACTCCACCTAAGGATGAGGTTGGAAGCAGAGGAATCTATAATTCTTCAGTTCTTGCCAGATAACTGCAAAGTAACTTCTGGAATAGTTTCCTGCCATGTAGAAAACAATGCTCTGGCAGCAGGGATGTGTGTGAGTGCTCTGCAGGGAGAGCATTGTCTGGCGTGTCAGTGTGTTTGTGTACACAAATATTAATGAAACAGAGGCCAAACAGGAACTGAACTCTCTCTGGGAACTGCTCCTCCATGGCATACCCAGGGAAGAAGGGAATGAAATATTCAACAACTGTGTAAAAAACTACTGGAAAACAAACACCACTGTCTCCTATTGTGTCTATCTTTTGGGGAAAATCACACTGAGAAACTCTGCAAGCTTGTTTATGCTGCTCTCAAGTGGGGTTCTGAGTTGTGTTATTTTGTGTCGTTGTAAACTCTAACGCAATTCAAGGCCACATGAAATGTTTTGTCATTTGCTTTGATAATTGTTGGAGGCCCAGAGTGACTGGATTCTGCAAGCTCTGGGTAGCCACAGCTTCTCTGGGCAACCTGTGCCAGAGAAGGGAGGGAAAAATTTCCTTCCAATATCCCATCTAACCCTGCCTCTGGCAGCCTGCAGCCATTCCCCCTTGTCCTGTCCCTCCAGGCCCTTGTCCAAAGTCCCTCTCCATCGTTCCTGTAGGTTCCCCTCAGGCACTGGAAAGCCTCCCCTTCTCAAACATTTACACCAGAACATCAAACACACAGATCATGTTTCTATTTAGGAGGAACTCCAGTTCCCCTACCTCACACAGGAAAAATGTGCTTTCTAGGGATGAAAATAAGTAATTTCTTTTTTAAAAAACTTCCTAAAGGAAAAGTGGGTTCCATGGTTATTGTTTTATTATAAAACTGATCAAGTGCCAGGCACTGGTCTTGAGAGAATGGCTGATATGCTGAATGTGAGGCCCTTTTGGAGGCTTTTGGAAGGACCCACCTTTTAAAAATCTTGCTTTAATTCTTGCTGTGACTAGAAATTCTGTAGTTATGACAGCAGCGTGCCATCTGTATAACAGGACCCTGTTAGAGTATCCATCTGGTAAGGAAAGGATTACTTCATCAAATCTTACAGTTTAAAATCCTCATGAGTGGGCAACATATTTACCCTGGGTGCTGTGAAGGGAGGGACACAAGGCAGCAGAAGAGCTGGAAATTTCCCTGCCCAAATGACCAGCATCCACTAAGGCTTTGAGGTGGTTTAAATGGTTAAAAATGAGCCATTACTTCATTTTTTATGACATTAAACCTCCCTCTGGAGTGACCCACCTCTGCCAACAGCATAATGCAAGGGCTGGGGTTTTGAAGAGCTCACAGGCAACACCTAAAGGAATGACAAAGCAGCTGCAGAAAAACCTTGCTTTAAAGAGGATGCTGTTTCATTTCATATGAAATACAGAACCCTGAACTCTGGCTTTGTCAATTTTTTTCTGTTTCCACTTATTGCTTGAAAGATCAGGCTAATATTTACACAAAAGAACTCATTAGTGAATTTTACAGGAGGATGAAAACACCCAGAACAAGGAAAGGAATTTATTGAGCTTTGAAAAGAAAGTCATGGGGGGAGGAACAGAAGCAGAGAGAGAGTGGTGTGATTTTAAAGAGAGGCAATCCAGTGACTTTTTGAATAATTAAAATTAATTTTTAATCTTTCTCAAAGAAAAATGAGATGGGCTCTATCCAAGCAGCAGGAAGGCTTCAATATATCCTGTATTGGACTAGTAGTTCAGCTTTAGTAGGAGGGAAAAAGTGAACATCTCTGAAAGAGGAAAAGGCAAATAAGCCAAGAGAAAATGAAAAAAAAAAACCTGTACAAACCTTTCAGAGAACATCATGGAGAAACCATAGCACTGAACCAACACCAACACCTCCCAAGGCTTATAGACAAGCCAGGATCAGCAAGAGTCCTGGCTGGGGCACACAAAAGGGAAAGGGCCAAAAGCAGCCCATGGCAATGGGGCTGTCTGGAATGTTTGGTGAGCTTCCTGCTTCAGGACCTCCAGTCAAAATTCACCTGAAAATTCATGCCTAGGTGAACTCAACAGCTGATTCTATACCAAATGCATAGGCTGAAAAAAAAAATGCTTTTTTACTAGCCAAGCTACTTGAGTTGTGCTCTCAGCAGGTGGCACACACTTACCACACTGTGGCCCATTACTGAATTTATTTGAAATGGTTTTTACCAAGATAAGTATCAGAAATCTCCATTTTAACAAGGAGAGAAATCTACTCCATTCATAATTAAAAATACTTTGGTATATCCTGCCTCAAAAATAATTTTGTTTTCAAGAGTATTATAAAGGGAACATCTTCATGTAAGAGTAGTTCTGCCCACCTGCTATTCTTTGTAAAGTGAAGGAGAGAAATAAAAAAAAATTGCCTGACCTGTGATCACCTTTGGATAAATCTTTCTGGCACAAAAATCATGGTGCCAAAGGCAGGATTTCCACTGTTCCCTGGTGCAGGAGCTGATTAGTCAGTGCCCTAGGAGCAGAAATGATGCAGTGTGACTTCCAAGGCAGGCTCAGGACCCTCCTCATGGACAGACGTTAAACTGTGGGGCAAACAAGAAAAGTCAGTAAGCACAGCCTTCTCAAAGTTTGCTGGTAGGAAAAATCCTATCAATAGTGTGGGATACAGCAGTTGCAGTAATATTGAAAAATAATGCCTTGGTTTCACAGAATCACAGAGGTTGGAAAAGACCTCCAAGGGCATCAAGTCCATCCTTCAAATCCTACAGTGCCCACTAAACCATATCATGAAATGCCACATCTACTCATTTCCTCAACTCTTCCAGGGAATGGGGAAAGGGAAAGGGATTTCTTTACAACTCACTTCCTGATTAAAAAAGGCATCAAAATGAGGCTTGCTTGGCATGAATTAACAGAGTGCATTAAAATGTTTAATCTCATACACAGACCCACGGGTAACTCTCATCTCTGAGCTGTTGCCTCCTGCCTTCTCCCCAGGCATAACTTCCTTTCTCATCTCTCCCAAACCAGAAGAGAGGGATCTGTATCCAGGAATTCAGAAGGAAGGCAGTGGGAAGGGAAGCAGAGTCTTTCCCACTGCTGGCCTTGAGCAGTTTACTTCAATGTCAGGGAAAGAGATAACTCTGTTTACATTTCCATTCCCTGGAAAGATCACGAGATTATTTAGATGACGTCTAGACAGTACTCTGAACACGCAGAAGAGCCACATAAAGCTCAGCTTTATGAGCAATAGTCTCTCCCTTTTTTTTAAAATGCTTTAATTTCCAAATACATACTGGCAGCCAAAATGGGGCTGAGTATGCCAGCAATGCTGGGCAAATCCCTGGCATCACACATCAATCTGCTCTTTCATGTGAAATTAAAGTGTCCTCTCTGACCAGAGTGGAAACAAAAGGCAGGCACAGAACAGTCAAAGGAAAAACAGAGACTGGGGAGAGAGGGATTGGAACAAATTGGCTGAGTTAACCTGTCTGCTTGACTCTAACCACAGGGCAGATAAAGAAAACCATTTTCTGCCCAGCTGATGAGCCACAAACATCCCAAGAGGCTCCCCAGCAGGCCCTCACCAACTGCATGCACGTCCAATGTCCTCCATTCCCTGCATGCAACTTCCACAGGGTGTCTCCACCTGAAAATGCAGTGTTACAGGGTTCTGTGGCTCACCCTTATACAGCTGTCCTGGAGTGACCTGGGAGAAATCACCCACTTTTCTGCACTCCCCATACACCCAGCCAGATAAAATACAGTTTACATTCTGACCTTTGCAATATTTAAGACAGTTTGGATGGTAAAGCAGCCTGAAATGTTGAATTAAAAGGTATTACAGAAACACTGTCAATTTTAAAGTGAAATACTAAATTTATTACTTGGTTTAATTGCCCTGAATTTTCACACATTAACATGCAAACCACATTGAGTGTGGTGCTGTTTCCAATTACAACAGCTGATTTATCCAGGATGGAGGTTAGAGGCATGATAACACTTTCACTTGGCTTAACAACCCACCCATTTCACAGAATTAATGAAGCTCTGCTCCTCCTCAGTTACACTCCACTTCCATAGCTGTGCTCCTGCAACGATAGAAGGAAGTTAAGAGGATATTAATCTGGAAATGGACCCCCCTGTCCACCAAATTCACTCTCCAGTGGTTACAGTCAGTGTTTCTTTATCATTACTATGTAATCCCTTTCTTAATGCACCAAGTTCCCTCCTCCTCCTCCCAGGAAATCTTCTAAGAACTTCATTACTTCTTGGAAGCCTCCATGCAGTTTCCAGCTTATGCTTGGACAATTCATATTCTTTTGTCCTTATGACAGCCTCACCTCCAGCTTCCCAGCTTTTCCCCTGCTGGCACAGGCCCCCAGCCCTCTCCTTAGACAGGAATGATCCCATGCACTCCCACAGGTCCCAGCTCCAGCTGAAAGAACCACAAAGGAAACCCAGAGACCAGCCCAGGCAAGAGCAGGGAAAGCCCAGTTCTGCTGGATGGGCACCTGGGACCTGCCAGTGCCATGGCACTGAGCAAAATTCACCTGGCCCTGCTGTGTCTCCTCAGTATTGGATCTGCCTGAACCCCTAAAGGCCTTTTCTCCCTCTCCTGCCAGAGCTATCCAGGCAGAATTTCCTGCTGCCCTTCCTGTGCTGGGAAGGTGGCCCATGCTGGCCATTCACCAGAGCACTGATGGGTTTCAAAATAGCACAGCATGTGCTGTCTGCATCTTGGGAACCTCCTGGCAGCCTGTGGGGCCTCAGGTGGGAAAAGGTGAACATTATCAGGACAAACAGCAACAGAACTCTGTGCTGGGGCTTGGGGTGGAGGCCATTTCCCACACATTTGAAGAAAACAATCCCAGGGGATTAAAAAAAATCACAGCTTTTTTTTTTTTTTTTTTTTCTTTTCTTTTCTTCATAAAATCTACAATAAAAACAGGCCATGTTAAGCAGAAATGAGCCTACCAGAACTTATGAATAACTTGAATTCTTCCACTGGAGCCCAGCCAGCTACCCTTGGAAAAAATTCCTGTTTACTTTGTAGTGAATGTGAGAGACATGCAGTCTGCCAGAAGCTGCTATGACAGTAAAAACACAGGCAGGGGCTGTCACAAATGGGGAAATCACAGAGAAAGTTAACTTTTTAACTTCAAGGACTAGATTAAAATAATATCTATTTGGTTAAAAGTTATTTACTTTATCACACAGAAGACTTAAGTTGCCTTTACATGAAAGCTGCTTTAGTTCAAAGGCAAATTTCAGCTGCTTCTTCAATAGTTAGCTCGGTTTTAAACATTTTTATTAGATTTACAAAGGAAATGTGTTTTCTTGTCGTTGTCAGTTGAGCTGAGATTAATATTTTGCCCTACAACTGCATCTTTCTTTCCCCAAGCCTCAGGCAGGATGGTTGCAGTAGGAATTCCTGACAGTGTCCTCACTCAAGGTGCTTCCTAAATCCTGGGGGATGATTAGACATGCCTGACCTTGTGGCTCCTCAGCAGTTTGATCCTAGGGTGATTCCTACATAAATCCTGCCCTAAACTGGAGGTCTGTGATTTCAGAAATTGCACAAAACATATTCCCAGTGCCCCAAGCCTGCATGCTGAGGCCTGATTAAGTGACAGGCTCTTTGAGAGAAAAAGAGGGTAATAAGTAACCTTAGAGCTCCTGTGTTTTGTGCTGTAAGTTGGGATTTCTTCACTCCTGATCTTCAACACAGCTACACTGATTTTTTTATCATTTCCACTCCTTTGTATACATTATTTGTATTCCTCCTGTCTTGGCAAAGCTTAATGTAACCCTAAATTGAACATGATGGCACTTTCTCCTGTTTATTTACATTCTTAATTAATATTTTCATTGATCTTATCTTTCATAAGCAATTTTCCTTTTGTCCCACAAAGCAGTCAAAGGCCCACGATCTGCAGATATCTGTCGTCCCACAACAGCCCCTGCACCCCTGCTGCCATAATCCCTCCCTGTCTCTTACAAATTTTCCCATTGTCCCTCTCATCCCTTTAAAGCCCATTTTCTAGGCTTTGTTGTTGTGCTTTATACTTGAGACCAAGAACATGTTTAAGTCTCTTCCTGCACCCAGTCCAAGAATGGCTGACCTGATAACCCCACAGCAGCAGTGAAAACAGGAGACAAATGTCACCTCAAAGGGACACTTGAGCATATCTGGCCCTGTCAGGAGCAGGAAATACCACGAGTCTTACGTCAAAGATTTCAAACCTAAATCTGCAGACCCAAGAGGGCTGGAATGGCTTGAATAATGTTTCAGATAAACATCCAGACTTTGTGATGATTATCCAAACTCTTTGGGAATGTGGAAGTTGCGAGGTTCAGCCGTCAGCAGTACCTTGAGCGCATCCTGCACCTTGAGGACAGCCCTGATAAGGCTGTTTGTCGGAAGCCAACTGCAGCAGCCTTAATTAGATCACGTTGGTAGGAAGCTGTGAACCAAGGGATGCTGCAGACATTGCCAAGTGGCTCAGGAGAAATAAATCAAGAGTTGTCCAAAGCACAGCCCCATACTGGCCACTGAGAAGAAAATTAACTCTGCCCTGGCCAAAACCAGCATGAGAGACTACAAATATTTTCAGAGTAAGAAAAGTGGTAATTATTCACTGTCCTTGAAAAGAAGGATCTTCAAGGTGGGAGAAAATATTTTGAGCACCTCCTCACAGAAATTCAGGAGTCTAGTAACTTTAATTTGACCTTGGAAATTAAGTCAGCTACATCAAATTAAGGCCATATTAATTCTGATTACGATTAACCACCTAGAGGCTTAACACAGTTTGACTAATACATGTTAAAATCACATGTTAGTGATTTTAGTTAATTTAAATTGTTGCTTGAGTGTTCCTGCAAAGGTGAGTCCTAAATCTCAACAATATTAATCAGCAAGAGAAAGGAGGCCTTGCATGTACCTGATCTTTCTCTGTTTGTTTCATAACATCTTCATTGAGAAATCTGTTCAGCATAGAGCATTAAAAAGCCTGTCGGGCTGCAGTGGGCAAAACCCCTGCTAGTTTGATTAAATTACTCAAGAGAATAAAAAGCACTGGTATTTTCAGAGCTGGTTGGTAAACACACCTAGCTTCAGAATTTCTGGAGAGAGCCTGAGAATTCAGCTGGGGTTACACACAAATGGACTAATTAATAGAATCTTAGGATGGTCTAGGTGAAAAGGACACCAAACCCCAATTAATTATTAATTATGATTTGCAAAAACAGCATGAAAATTCACTGTGTCCAGCTTCTTAAAGAAAAGGGAAAAACACCTGAATTCCCACTGAGTCTCAACAGCCAATTTCCATAGACATGGGTACCATGGGTATCTTTAGTGGGCAAAAGTCTAGACAAACTCCAGTCTCCCTCAGGCTGACTGTTAGCAGGGGATTCACACAGTCTGAGAAGCTGCTCTTCCCTTCCAGCTCCCCAGCAGCAACTCCTAACCCTGATGCAGCATCACCCACAGACACAGCAACCCATCAACTCATTCCCCCTTGTTCCCTGGCCTTTTGCAGGCCTTCTGCATCTCCCAGGTATTGTTTACAGGTGTAAACTGTCCAACCTGAATCAAAACTGCTCAATCTGAAGCACCTCTTGCCAGTTACTGCCTTTAAGGAGCTAAAAGCCATGAGCAGAGTTGCCTCATCACACCTCCAGAAGGGCCTGGCTGACCAAACCTTCGGCTATTAATCACCAGTTACAGTAATTGGTCTCCCAGAGGATACTGACCCTCCCTTCACACCCTGCTTGCTTTTCCTGGCAGGCAGCTGCAGCTAAATCGTGAACACAGACAGCAGTTGCCAAAGGGCTGGTGCTTTCTTGCCTCCTGCTGGGTTCTCACAGTTATTCAAAACATGCACAACTGTCCATCACAACACAGCACCTCTCATCCCACAGAGCAGTGACCACCCTAAATGACCCTAATTACTGATTATGCCCATTCCTAGAAAGAAACAGCAGTTATCATAGAATCCCATACTGGCTTGTGTTGGAAGAGACCTGAAAGCCCATCTTGTTCCATCCTTGCCATGGGGAGGGACACCTTCCACTATCCCAGCTTGCTCTAAGCCCTGTCCAGCCTGGCTTTGGACACTGCCAGGGATCCAGGGCAGCCACAGCTTCTCTTAGGGCCAGGGCCTCACATCCCTCACAGGGATTCCTTCCCAAGGTCCCATCTGACCCTGCCCTCTGCAATTGGGAAGCCATTCCCTCTCATCCTGTCACTAAAAGCCCTTGTCCCAAGTGCCTCTCCAGCTCTCCTGGCACTGCAGGGAGCTCTGAGGTCTCCCCAGAGCCTTCTCTTCACCAGATGAATACCCCCAGCTCTCCCAGCCTGGCTTCAGAGCAGAGGAGCCCCAGCCCCCAGAGCATATGTATTTATCATCACCATTTACAGTTCCCACCAGTCAGAATTTTATATGCCAGCCCTGCTGGATTTTATATTTTTTGTAGAGATGATTGAGAGAAATAAAGTACTATTTACAGAAAAATTCCCAACAGGGTCCTAACAGGCTCTCACAAAAAGCCATTGTTTCACTTTCTTATTTGTTGTCCCTGTGCAGCTGTAACCCACTGCTCCAGATTATTCACCCCTATGTATTCCTATGCAGTAATGAATGTGAAGACACCCAAGGCTGGCTGCTGGTGCCAAAATCCTGTAAGGAAATTTACTGCCATTTGGAATATTTTCACTTCAAAGGAAAGGATTAATGAAGATTATGGAAATGATCCTCAATCTCTGTGATTCCACTGACCTGCTTTTCCCCAGATACCACAGAATGATTTGTTAAGCTGTGTGTCAGCCATATGAGAGAAATGCTAAGTGCAATGCAGAGTGGGAAGTGCAATATTCGAGATGTATACACCACTTCCAAGGTAAAAATACTTCTGAAGCACAGCCAAGCACTGCTGGCAGTCAGAGCCAGAGTCCTGGAGTGGTGTAGCATTGTCTGAGGCAATCCAAGCTCCCCATCCCCAGTAAATGTGTATCAGCTCCAACACAGCTCAAGTGCCAGCACTGCAGCTGCACCAC